TAAGTAAGCTTTTCAGTTTAAATCAAGTGGATTCTAGAGGGTAATTAATCTCAGGTTTTCTGTCTGAGATCTGATCCTTTTGCATGTGTGTGAACGTAAGGAGATACAGCTGGGAAAAGCTCCTTTTTTGTGTGTTTAGAAAACAAATCTCAAAAAATAAAATTCTTTAAAATCCTAGGAGGCACCCCAGGAGTTTCTAAGGAGAGTTACTTGCAAGTTCAGTGGCTGTACCACAGTTGGGGAAAAGGTGGACAGACAGAGATGAGAGGGTGCCCAAGGAATGGGTCTTTGCTTTCTTTTCTCCTGGTTAGATTTTGGGGTGTGGCTTGTTTTGTTTTGACTTGATTTGAAGATTCTGGTGCGTGGGGATAATTTCACTGAAGTGGAAAATGAGTAACACTTGGTCAGTTTGTTTACTGTACACACCGCTCACACATTCATTTGCAGAGCGCTTCCTATGGGTTAGGTGGCAAGGATGTGAAGAGTAATAATACATACACAAATGACCACCCTCCTCCTCCCACGCAGGGCTCTCAGGGAAGTAGAAGAGAGACTCGTAAACAGATCAATTACTGTGCTTTCTGATGAGTGCTGTAGAGAAGTGTGAGCACACACACACATGTGCACTCTAGTGTACACACAGCTCTTCAAGAAGTTGTTCAGTTACTCAGCCATGGCCGACTGCGACCCCATGGACTGCAGCACTTCGGGCTCCCCTGTCCTTGGCACTTCAAGAAGAGCTGCTCTTAATTGTTTTCTCAGGTTTGTTTCCAGGACACCCTTCTCCTCTTTTTTCCTTTTTTTGGTACCTGCATACATACTTTTGTTTATTGAAGTGGAATTCATAAAACATAACATTAACCTTTTAAGAAGTGATTTATTTTTGGCTGCACTGGGTCTTCATTGCTGCACTTGGACTTTCTCCAGTTGTGGCCAAGCGGGGACTACTCTCCTCATTGTGGTTGCTTCTCTTGTTACAGACCATGGGCTACAGGGAGAGTGGGCTCAGTACTTGTGGCTCATGGGCTTAGTTGCCCCGTGGCATACGGGATCCTCCCAGACCAGGCATCAAACCGGTGCCTCCTGAATTGCAAGGTAGATTCTTAACCACTGGACCACCAGGGAAGACTCAAACCAATCTTTTTAAAGTGAACGATTAGATAGCATTTAGTCCATTCACAATGTTGTGCAAACACAACCTCTCTCTAGTTCCAAAACATTTTCAACACTCCAAAATAAAATTCAGTCTCTGTTAAGTAGTTCTGCACACTCTCCCCTCCACACAACTCCTGGTAACCACAAATCTGCTTTTTCTCCATAGATTTCCTACTCTAGATATTTCATATTAATGAAATCCTACAAAATGTAATCTTCTGTGTTTGGCTTCCTTCACTTCAGTTCAGTCGCTCAGTCATGTCCGACTCTTTGTGACCCCATGAACTGAAGCACGCAAGACCTCCCTGTCCATCACCAACTCCCGGAGTCCATGCAAACCCACGTCCATTGAGTCGGTGATGCCATCCAACCATCTCTTCCTCTGATGTCCCCTTCTCCTCCTGCCCTCAATCTTTCCCAGCATCAGGGTCTTTTCAAATGAGTCATCTCTTTGCATCAGGTGGCCAAAGTATTGGAGTTTCAGCTTCAACATCAGTCCTTCCAATGATCGGTCCGTCCAGGACCGATCTCCTTTAGGATGGACTGGTTGGATCTCCTTGCAGACCAAGGGACTCTCAAGAGTCTTCTCCAACACCACAGATCAAAAGCATCAATTCTTCGGTGCTCAGCTTTCTTTATAGTCCAACTCTCACATCTATACATGATCACTGGAAAAACCATAGCCTTGACTAGATGGACCTTTGTTGACAAAGTAATGTCTCTGCTTTTTAATATGCTATCTAGGTTGGTCATAACTTTCCTTCCAAGGAGTAAGCGTCTTTTAATTTCATGGCTGCAATCACCATCTGCAGTGATTTTGGAGCCCAGAAAAATAAAGTCTGACAATGTTTCCACTGTTTCCCCATCTATTAGCCATGAAGTGATGGGACCAGATGCCTTGATCTTAGTTTTCTGAATGTTGAGCTTTAAGTCAACTTTTTCACTCTCCTCTTCCACTTTCATCAAGAGGTCCTTTAGTTCTTTTTCACTTTCTGCCATAAGGGTGGTGTCATGTGCATATCTGAGGTTATTGATATTTCTCCTGGCAATCTTGATTCCAGCTTGTGCTTCCTCCAGTCCAGAGTTTCTCATGATGTACTCTGCATATAAGTTAAATAAACAGGGTGACAATATACAGCCTTGACGTACTCCTTTTCCTATTGGGAACCAGTCTGTTGTTCCTTGTCCAGTTCTAACTGTTGCTTCCTGATCTGCATACAGGTTTCTCAGGTCAGGTGGTCTGGTATTCCCATCTCTTTCAGAATTTTCCACAGTTTACTGTGATCCACACAGTCAAAGGCTTCCATCACTTAGGAGAATGTTATTGAGGTTTGTCCACATTGTCGTGTGTGTCAGTACTTTAACCCTTTACATAGCCGATAATGTTCCATTGTATGGATATACCACAATGTGTTTATGCATTCATCTGCTGACAAACATTTGGGTGGTTTCACCTTCCAGCTGTTGTGAATAATGATTCTGTGAACACTTGTGAACAAATTTTTGTTTGAATATCTGTTTTATATCTGTGGTATATATCCGGGAGTAGAATTGCTGAGTCTTATAAGTAATTCTATGTTTAACTGTTTAAAGAACCAAAGTGTTTTGCACATTGGCTGAACATAATATACACCTGCCTTTTGAAGACCCACAAAGTTCTATTTTTGATGGTTCCTCCATAGTGAAACTGAAATACTTCAAAGAACTAAATTCTGGTTTACCAAAACCCAAGTAGTCTAAGTTCCTTTGTTGGTCCAGTGGGTTAGAACTTGTGCTAATGAGACTAAGGTCAGGGGTTCAAGACCCAGCTGGCCAGTCAGCAGAGCAGAGAGCACAGAATAAACACTTAAGTGTGCCACAGCTCCATTAATACTGTCCTGCCCTCTTACAAAAGCTCGTTAGTGCTCACAGGGGGACAGAGCAAGAGTCAGTTTATTTGTTGTTCAGTCGCTTAGTCCTATCCGACTCTTTAGGACCCCATGGACTGCAGTATGCCGTGGTTCTCTGTCCTGTTTTTTATGGTTCCATATAAAAGGAAACAAAACGAAGCACCTGGCACCCAAGGCACAGTGGGGCTAACTAGAATCAAATGACTGCGCACTCCCAGTCCTGCTTTCACCTGATTTCTGTGGGTCCCTGGGGTAAACTGCTTACCCTGCCCAGAGCCTCAGTTTCCTCATGTCTAAACTGGGAAAAGGAGAAGAGGGCGGCAGAGGATGAGATGCTGAGATAGTATCACGGACTCAATGAACATGAATTTGAGCAAGCCCTGGGAGACAGTAAAGGACAGGGAAGCCTGGCATGTTGTAGTTCATGGGGACGCAAAGAGTCAGGGGCGACTTAGTGAATGAACAACAACAAACTGGGAAAAATAAACCTTACTTCAAAGAGATGATAATGCATCCTGAGTACTTTGCACACAGTAGGCTTCCAACAAGTGCTGTTGAATCTGGAGGGTGAGCAACCTCCAGGAGTGCAGAAGACCCTCAGCTCCTACAACTGGCTCTGAGCTGTCCTCCTGAGTTTGACCAGCTGGAATGGTGCTGCGAGCTTGTCCGGTTGTTCCGGGTTACACTGACTGTTTTAAATGGTCCTATTTGCATGGAATGAAGCTTGCTATGGTAACAAGGTCTGGTGGCTGGAATCCAGGGCCCCTGTGAAAAATGCAAAGCCTGTGCTCCTGGAGAAAGAGGCACTTGATGGGTGTATCAACTTTAAGGTTACCTCTGTTGGCCCAGGAAGAAGGAGCGAGGTAAACTGAGGCAGTGGGGCCTCCACATTCCTAGCAGGGGGAGGAAGAGGGAAGCCCCATGGAGCCTTCCAGACTTCTCTCCTGGCCGAATTCCTTTTGCCCCCCAGTATTTAGCCCAGCTAAGAAGCCTAAGACTGGCTAAGGCCACCGATCTGTGCACCCACCAGTTCCGGGCGGTGGGGAGGCCACAGCGCCAGTGATCCACCCTGGGGAAGGAAAGGGCGATCCTTCGGAGGAAGGGGAGACAACACAGGTTGGGGCGCTGAAGGTGAAGGTGGAGTGGGGTGGAGTAGGGTGGGGGTGGACAGTGAGAGGCACGCGGGGCAGTAGCCCAGTTCCCCGCTGAACATTCCTAACCGCATTTGAAGGAAACAGCTAAGCAAGAACTCCACTCCAGAGCGCGGGCAAGCAGCCCCCTCCCCCGGAGCTCCATCTCCGCTCCCCTCTGGGGCCCCTCTTCCGAGCACCCCTCTCTCCCAAGCACCCACCTCCTCCCCAGTCCCTGCACCCGCGCTAGGCGCGAGTTCGCCAGGGCGGGGGCCGCCCCACCGCTCCAGGGAGGGGACCGAAAGCGGGCCTGGGAGCAGGCGCCCCCCCACCCCTGGCCAGGGGCGCCACCTCGGCCCACGCTGGGCCACCGCCTGCCGCACCCGCCCCACGTGGGGGTGTGTCCCGGAGGTGGGGGGCGCGGAGGCCGAGGCAGCGCCCCCGCCCCGGGTCCCTGCCCCCTCCCGAGCGCGCGGCGAATGGTAGGCTCCATTGAAAGAGTGCCTGGCGGCGCGCGGTGTCCTTCTCCGAGTCGCTCTCCGCGCCGGGGTCTCGGCGATCTCTGCTCCTCCTCCTCTTTCTCCTCCCCCCTTCCCCCTTCCCCAACCCTCCGCCTCGCTCCGCCGCGGCTCAGGCTGGAAGCGCCGCTGTCATTCCTGCGCCGGAGGAGCCGGCGCTGCCGGTGCCTGGGGGTCGGGGCTCGGGGAAGCCGGGCCGCTGGGGACCCAACAGGTAGAGCCGGGGGTGCCCGGCCGCGCGCCCCCCAACCCCCGCGCATCATGCAGCTCTTTGTCACCTCTCTCGCCCCCAGGCCAAAATCCTGAGCATGATGGAAGACAATAAGCAGCTCGCGCTCCGCATCGATGGGGCGGTCCAGTCGGCCAGCCAGGAGGTGACCAACCTGCGAGCCGAACTCACGGCCACCAACCGGAGACTGGCGGAATTGAGCGGCGGCGGCGGCCCCGGCCCGGGCCCGGGAGCGGCGGCCAGCGCCTCGGCGGCGGCGGACTCGGCGGCGGCGAACATGGAGAACCACCAGCACAGCGCGCAAGGTAGGGATCGCCTGGCGCCCGGGTCGGAGGAGAGGCGAGCGAGCCGGACCCGGACCGGACCCGGAGGTGCCCGGGGACTCGTTGCACCCTCACGCCCGCGGCGAAACCGCCTTGCATTGTGGCTTGCAGCCCTTTCCGCCCGGCGGTGGCGGGTACTGCTCCCCTGCTGGGAGTTGCAGTCTGCTGTCATTAACGAAAACCCGGGCGCAGCGTGCACGGGTTCACACGGTCACGCCGGCCCCGGCCAGCGCAAGCTAGGCGCAGCCGGCGGGTCCCCCCGCTACCCCGGCAGCAGAAAGTGCCCTTTAGATGATACACAGCCCCCAGCTCCGTGGGCAAACTTTTCATGCTCGGGCCTTTGCAGGGGTGAATGCCACAGCTTCCCCCCACCCCCAGTTCCGGAGGCTCCTTTCCTTGGAACGAATGCCCGAGAGGGAGCGCCAGGCTCTGCTGCCGCGTTTGGGGTAGAGGATTGGACTGGTTTGCACTTTTCTCCACGGATGCCAAATCCCTTGTCTCGATTGCATCTGGACTTTATTTTCTCCCCGTTTGAGATCGCGCAGGCAGTGGAATTATATCAATGCAACAGTAGATGCCGTGCTCAGCAGGGAGTTTAAATTTCCAGCAAATATAAACACTGAGAGCACTTTCCAGGGGGAAATCTTAGCCCTCAAAGGCTGAGTGATGGGCTCCTGGCGAAATGAAGGCGTCGTAGATGGTGGGTTTCCAGGTAGCTGCTGCTTGAAGGGACTCTTTGCAGTTAGGAGGAGAAGGGGGAAAAGGACAGTCTGTGTTGACACTGACAGTGATGAAGCTCTGAAACCCTCATACAAGGGTTGAAGATGGAGGAAGCATTTAAAAAAAAATCCATACTGTTTGTTTTCTGTAAATTAGAAGTGCAGAATGGATTTTCAGGATTTTTTCCCCCTTTTTTGTCTAATTGCCCTTTAAGAAAAGTTGTCACTGATTATTAATATCATTTGATTGCAAACTAAATTACTGAAATCCTGGATGTGACCAAAAAAAAAAAAAAATCCAGTCTAGGAGGGTCACTTGTGTAAATATGTCACTTAATGAAGTATGAGGTACCAGTGGCCCAGAAGGATTTTCTGGTTTTGTTGTTATTTCAAAGGCTTCTCCTAAGTGTTGAGAGCGAGCGAGCGAGTCTGGTTTCATAGGAATGCCTTCTCTCTGTCAGCTTCTGTTTCTTCCTTACCTTCCTGCAGTAGGCATGCCTTTTTTTTTTTTTTTTTTTTTGGTGTGAGATGTTAAGCTTGAACATTAGCAGTTTATGGTCAACTCAGATCTTAACTTGGTACTTCCGGAGTCTGTCAGGATTCTTAGGAATCGGGGCAATAATTTGGTACCAAAGTAGCATGACGTCATGGTGGGAAGGTGTTGTGAGAATGGTTCACAGTCTTCAAGGTGGGTATCTGGTTATTCTGTCATTTATCCCTTGTTATGTCATTGTGTGTGGAAGATGCTCTCTCCTGGCACCTGGGCAAAAACAGAGAAGTTAGACCCCATGGTCAGGCTTTACTTTTTATCAGCACGGATGCTTCCAGCCTTAAAAAATAGCAGAGAACTGGCATTTTGCTGAGAATCAAAAGCTGTGGTAAAGCAGACTGAACAATGCTGGTTTATTTCCCACCATCCGCCCCTTTCTCAGCCGAGGAAAAGTTAAGTGGCTTTTATCTGAGTCCTGGGTCTAGTGCAGTCTGAGCATGCTAAGGAGGTCGGGCCACAATGATCTATAAACTCGACTTGGAAACTGTGATACTTAGCTGATGGTTAAATTGTTGTAGTGGAGCAGTCAGGGGCTGTTTCCTTTTTCTTTTTTCCCTACAAAAATGCACAAGGCTGTGGAAATGGAAGTGGCTTTTGGATCTCTTGATATTCCTAAAAACACACAAAACCGGCTGTTTCCTCATATTCTGAGATGTGTGCCTCCCCAGGCCAGGGGCTCTGTGGGTGGCTGGAGGAAGGATGGTTTTGATTTTTCATCTGTGTACCATTGGTATTTTTCAAAACCTTTGTTGGGAGAGTTTAATGATTTTATAATCAGAAAATAAAATGTTGAAGATTTTAACTCAACTTGATGGTTGGCCACATAGCCCTCTAAATTGATGTCAATTTAAACTGATGTGATGGTTGAAAAGAAAACAAGACCCCCATATACATTCAGTGGGGCATCATTTACTTATATATAGTAACCATTCCTTCATACAGTACTTTTGCATTATTTAGCCTCTGTGAGTGTTTTGGGGTTTGTTTTTATTTTGTTTTGCTTTGTGTTCTCATGACATGTGGCAGCATTCTGCTGGAACAGAAACCTTCTGCAGAGGTGTCTGGTAGTGTCTTCTGCTAGTGCTCACCTATTCCTAAAGGGAAGCGCCGGGCTCTCTTGGGTTAATTTCAAAGTATGGTTGACTGGCTTTCTTATGCTTCTTTGTAACAAACCTCCAGGAAGGCTCACAGAAGCACAGTTCTTGGGGATTCCTCACTGTTCTTCCAAATTAGTCTTCTGTTCTAATTTTGTCTGTGTTGGTGCAAGTCGATGGGCTCAAAGCGCATGAGTATTTACTGTTGTTGAGTTATCACTTTTCAAATCACGGATTTGAATAAAATGAGTATCTTTCAAAAATGCAAGTGTTTCAGTCGCTCAGTCGTGTCTGACTCTTTGAGACCCCATGGACAGCAGCACGTCAGGCTTCCCTGTCCTTCACCATCTCCTGGAGCTTGCTCAAACTCCTGTCCATCGAGTCAGCGATGCCATCCAACCTTCTCTTCCTCTATCATGCAACTGTATAAGTTATCTTTTAACTAAAGGGCATTATGCACATATGAAATGCATGTTGATGTCCCTTTAATAATATTAGCAAAAATGGTTACAAAGAAGAGTCATCTTTTGCTCTCCCTGCTGAGAAACTGTTCGATCCATTTCCAGATACTTTTGTTAAAATTTTATTTTTGATGAATTAAATAAGCTCACCAATCTACCAGTGTGTGTTTTGTCCCAGTGAGGATATCTGACAGGAGGTAAGTCGATGAAGAAAACTTGGGTTTTCCTAGAGAGTTAATGCAGTGTGTCATTTAAACAAAATATTACCTTGGTTGGTACCCTCTGTGAGCGGGCATGGTTGCTACGTAACGGAGTCTGGAAAGTGAACTGCTGAAAATCTGGGCTTTCGACACTTTGCAGGATCTTCTTTCAGAATCTGTGTTGAAAGAACGCTTGGCAGCCAGCCCATCTTCTCTCTCCCAGCTTCAAGTGAGTCGGATAATCCCTAATGAGGATGCTGGCATGCGGAGCACAGGGCATCCGTGCAGGGTAGCTCTTCCCAAGGCTCCAAAGCTGCCTCTTGGGTTGGTGAGGTCACGAGTGCCTTTGACAGGTGGACAGAAGGAGGCTTGGAAAGAACAGAGCCAAGCATTTGTTCCAATTTGTCTTGTTGTTGGTAGCCAGAGAACGGATTTGTTTAAAGTAACATTTCTAAGCTGTTTTCCTCAGCGTAACATCTCTGGGAAATGTGTTTAAAATGCTTGCTGTTCTTTGAGGGGAAAATATAGCAGTTTGTTTCTCTGAAAATGTTTTATCTGATGAATGACTAATATTAGATTCAATTGATTGCTTTGCTATGCATAGAATAAAACAATTAAGCTCCACTGTACCCAATGCAAATAGGTGTTTAACTGTATATAACATAAAATACCTATGCTCAGTAGGATGCATACCTACTGCCATGATTTGTGTGTTTTTTTAAGGAAATGGTTGTATTTATATGCCCATGTAAGTGGAAATGTTCATAGCATCTTTCGTGGGTGTTGAGGTCTTACTGTCTACTGCATCTGTTAGATTAGGAGGGGGAAAAGGGTCATTTTCTTACACCTTTGTAAATTTCCATAAATAGATGCAAGTTTTATTTTTTTTCCCCCTAGGCATTAAAATAGACTGTGACTTCAGGTCTGATGGCTCTTATCTAGCATTATGATAACACTGGAAACCCTTTGGTGAAGCATAAATTACCTTGGGACCGAATTGAATGTGTGAATAGTCTGCGGAGACGCTAGACACTGTTGCTTTGCAAAATGAGCTCTCTTTTGGCAACCCCTTTCCACTTCATTCTGCCTCTGTGTACTCTTGTTTTCTCAAGTAGACTTTTATCTTTTTTGAAAAAGAGAATTTTCATGTGGTAGAGAGAATGAGACTAAGTGCAGTAGAATCTTGGGGACTTCTCTTGACTCACCCCTAAGTTACAGAGCTCATCCAGAACCTATACCTTGGTTTCTCCAGTCATATCCATGGGCTGTAAGAGACTTGTCTGTCTTTTCCTAATCTGGTAGGCTGTTATGAGATGGGATTTCAAAATTCTTCCTGAAAATCACCATGCATGGTCACCAAGAGATTACGTACAGATCAGTACAGCGTGAATGAAATTAGTTATTGATTGGCTAGTATTTACTATCTTTGTACTGTCTTTGGAAAATGCCTTTGGAGGACCCCTGAAGTGAAGTTTCTGGTTCTAGTTAATTTCATGCTTCCAGAATTTCAGGATTGACTGAGGTTTTTCAAAGCTTTTTTGATCCTAAGTCTGAGCCAATCTGATTTTTATAATAGGAGCCTAATCACACATCCCCCCCATGTAAGACACGGCATGCTCTCCCCACACCTTCACCCTCTCTACTCCCCAAGACTGCTGGCACTTTTGAGGAATCCTGTAGGTTATAATTTGTGACTTCCTGGCTGCCAGTGAGCTTGTAGCAGATGGACTTGGCAGGTGGGGCATACTCTTTGGAATGCTGCCGGCTCACCGTGCAAGTCATATGGGGCCCAGAAGGTCGAGCCTGGGGTCCTGGCCATATTCATTGCATATTTCATTTATATTTATTCCTGAGTTATGTAGCAAAGGTAAGTGAAATCCACATGAATTTCTCAGTGTTTTTCAGACTTTTTCCAGTATGGGTTTGTGTGAGCATTAGTGCTTGGCAGCTCACCCCCT